TATTGTTGCTAGAGTTGACCGTTGCATTGCTTTCTGTTATGTTTTCTACTTGTTGAATGAAATGGTCATCAAACTTATTTACAAGTATATCAGTTATAATAATAATAATAATGATAATGATGATGATGATGATGATAATGATAATGATAATAATGATAATGGTAATGATGATAATGATAATGGTAATGATGATAATGATAATGATGATAATGATAATGATGATAATGATAATGATGATAATAATGATAATGATGATAATAATGATAATGATGATAATAATGATAATGATGATGATAATGATAATGATGATGATAATGATAATGATGATAATAATAATGATAATAATGATGATGATGATGATGATGATGTATGTAGAAAAACAGATTCTGATCCATGAAATCACTTAGATCTTTCATTCCTGACACTACATTTTTCTTGTAGAATTCAATGAGGAGATGTGTGATTTAATGAACTTTTCTTTGCTTTAGTCATGTAAACTGCTAGAAAGTTTCTTTAGCTTCAAGATTTTTATTCTTCATACTTCTTAATAAATACATTTTTAAAAATTAACTAATCCTACAGAAAACACAAATTAAAATACTTGGAGATCTTTTTAATTCACTTGATGGCATGGTTTTATATTACAGCACATTTATTTTTCATATTTTCTATTTTTTCAATCACTGTTGTAATCACACTTACACTTTTTCAATCATAGTTTAATTGAAATTAGGCTTTCAGAATGGTGGAAGAGAAGGCAGTGAAATTTCTTTTCAAATGGAAATTCTCTATTTAGCAATCATATTGAGAAAACATTGTTAGCGAATTTCTAAAAATATACCAATGGGAACTCATTGACACTCATAACCTTTTGAGAGCTTGAGAACCTTCATAAAAGATCAATTAAAGTAATTTTGAAAAATAAGTAAGAAACAAACATTTTGCAAATTCACAAATTGCTTGATCCTAAAAGCTAAAAAAATATAAATGTGTGCATTAATAAATTAAAAATTGATTACTAAATTCTTTATCTAATTAAAAATGAGGATTCTATAGATGACTATAGAATTAATAATAAGAAAATTATCATTTGTCCCCTCCCCTCTCAGCAGATGATGTAAACAGGAAATCCAGGTTCAATTCCCAAAAGAAGTAAATAATGCTTTGAACAATTTGATTAAATAACAAAAACAAACAATTTTAATACTACATAATTGGCTTGATTTTGCATTCTACATAATTGGCATCAACTTGACTTGGTAGTTGCCATGAATGTTTACTGTGCCATCTTGTTTTGTACATTTCAATATACACATCACAAAAATTGAATTTTTTGTTTTGGTTTTTTGACCGTTCTTTTTATTGCCAGATGATGAGGAAGAAATATTACTTGAAACTATAGCAAAACGTGTTAATACACAATTTGAAATTTACATGATGCTGATTAATTTGTGAACATGAATAACCAAACATACAACTTGGTTTGTTCTCATTGGCCAAATAACAAATACTGTACAGTAATTGCTTATACTTAACCAGATAAAATTCAAAGTTAGAATTTCTGGAGAATAAAAATAGACATATTTTCTCTTTAAACTCAATAAACTGTATTCAGTGAACAACCCAATTAACTGAATACATAAAACTGCCAATAAGTTTGACATTAACTTGTTAGTATCAGAGAGAGAGTTTTTAAAAACTACAGTATACGATAAAACTTGAAATGATCTTGTTCATATTAGTATTTTACATTTTTTACAAAAGTTATCCCATTCATAGTTATTTCTCACTCTATGATTCATGAACTTGTATAAGTGAATAATATATAATTGATCATTGTAGTGAAATGTTTGTTTATATTAAGAAGAGATAAAATTGAATGATACCAAACCGAATGTAACCAAAAACAAATGATGAAGACTATAAGGATGATATTGATATATTTACTGGAGGAAGTATGTAACTATTTTGTACACTTTAAATATTCTTTGTACAATCAATTCACACATTTATTTAATATTGCCTCTATTAAAAAATGAATATTTATAACAATTATTGTTAATTACAAATCCTTTTTAGATTGAAGTACCAATTTTTACCACCAGTCGCCAAGAGTTGTAGCTTCTGGTGGAGAGAAATGTGAACTTAGTCGTACAGTCAACAGATGGCGCGACGGTAAGAGATTCGACTGTTCGTCCGAGACCTTGACAACTGGTCCTTCAAAATAGAAAGTGTGTTGTTCAGTGCAACTCGATCTGTCTTTGATGCCATCACAAAAAATTATGTGGATAGTTTACAATGTTAAGCTATACATACAAATACGTTTTCAAAACGAGCGACGTTAGGATCAAGTTTTGAAATTTGAACGAATGCAATAAAGAAAAACGCAAGCTCGCTACTGTATGCTCAGTGTTTGATAATGCAATTAATTATTCGTGCCTAAACGGCTGAAAGCTTATCATCTGGTTATAAAATGCTATTTAATGAACGTTTTCTTGCAACGAAAAAGGTCGTTTATAATGCTGCTGTTTTAAAAAGTTTTTGTAAATGGTGTTCTATTCATTGTTTTCTTTAACAATGATTCACTAAACATAACAAACGTAATTTTTAGGGCCGCGCCAATTCTAATTAGGAAGTGCAAAGAATGGCATTTGCAAAAGGGCGGTTAAAAATTAGACATTGCTTAATATCTGCATTATATTCATTTTTTTTTAATTTTAAAAGAAAAAGTTTACTCAAATTTCCAATTATATAAAAACTCTCATTTAGTGTTAAATTATGGGTCGAAAAAATAAGCACACTAATTCATAACTAGAAGTACTGTGAAGTCGCCGCTCGCCTTCACAGTTACAATTCAGCAAAAGCAAAATCATATCCATGGAAAAAAATTCAAAGTATGAGAACACGGAGAGGCAAACAGTAATTTGCACAAAGAGGAAAATTACCTTGACGCGAGCCTGCGAAATTCCCGCGAGTGATTTATATCCAAAATAATTTGAGCATAAAAGTTATGAAAAGAAATGAACTAACGAAACTGTAAATAGGAGCTTTCGAATCGGGTGTTCTGGCGTGCAATTATTCTTTTGACGTATCGTAGCGACTTCTTTCCAATGTATGCCTCCTTTTCATTCAAATCCATGGCTGCTTTCAGAGACATCCTGGTGAACATGGATGGATCGCTGCTGCAAGAGGGTGACATCATGAAGCGGCCGCAGCTGGCGAAGACGCTGCGTATCATAGCAGAGGAGGGAGTCGACGCCTTCTACAACGGCGACTTGGGGCGCCGCTTTGTGAAGGACGTGCAGGACCTACAAGGCATTATTACTATGGACGACCTCAGCAACTACACGTACTACACTCTCCCGAGTTCATATATATGTAGAAAATTCTTCTTTGCGCCAAGTGCGCTTTAGTTTCATAGCAGTGTAATGCCTTTCGCTGCAGGTGTCGTGCTACTAGCAGCGATTGCAGGCAATTACAAATGCTTCCAGTTCAGGATGCAATAGTATTGAGTTCGCAGGGAAGCTAAGTTCCCTGGAAGAGCGTGGTGGTGAGCGAGGTTTCAAGTACAGAGACCAAGTCCGATGAAGTATGAAGTTTAATTGAAAAGTAGAGCTGCAGAGCAGCGTGAAGTTGACACAGCAAAGTCTTTGGGCTGTCTGTCCGATATCAACGCTAGAGGATCGTTATATGGGAAACAGGGAGATTTACGAGGCCATTACGTCACCCCCACCAGAACTCGGCATGCCGTGGACGCAATAAACTAACTTAACTGTCAAAGGACTTTTGCCCTTTTGAAAACTCAAAAGTTCCCAAACATTCCTGTTTCCACGTCTGGATCGTGTTAGCGTTGGCGCCTAATGCTCCAGACGCGACCCTAATTTAAACATGTTTGAAGGGTGATATTTCTTTCACGTACAGTTTGAAAGAAATATTCATTGCTCTTCTTAAGCAATGCGTACTTCATATGTACGTATGTGCATTTACCATTACAGCAGGAAGTATTTGGCTCGCCTAAGAGCAGGCACCTTGACCTTTTAGCTCGAAGACACCGTCTTACTGCTCCAAAGCTTAATGCTAACAATCTACCATAATCTTCTTCTGCACCTAGCAAAATGGGAGACTAAGAAAACGTGCGCCGATATATAGCTAATTAAGTTGCATTTCCTCTCCGAAAGCAAAGAAAGGGCCTATCCCAGTATTTGCTTAAAGAATCAAGAAAAACTAAACAAAAAACATGTGTTGTAAACTATTGTACTGGCAATATTTGTGGATTTTGTTCGTACAAACCCTTGATGATTATGATTCCTACGTCGTATGCTCTAAATATGATCTAGATAGTACTTATATTGTCATAAGTGTGTAGTAGGATACCCATGTGTAATAGGTTACCAACCGTGGGTAAGTCAGTTTGGACAAAAAATATTTGTTCATAAATGAAGAGAAAAGTAGTTGTGTAGAGGCGGATTTACCATTTTCGAGGCCTCAACCTAAAATATTTTCGAGGACTCCCTTTTTACTCGTGAGAATAACATTTTTGAGATTGTAGATTGTAACGTTTTTATACAAATTTAATAAAATCATTAAAACGCATTCAAGTAATAATTTTATTCAAATTATAAATTTAAAAATTGTTAGCAATATTTTTTATAAAGTCTTACTAATAATAAAGTTGCATATTTTAATAATTTTTAAGGAATTTGCCGTTTTGTCCAACAATGTTTGCGGCTTCAAGCTGTAGCTTATTTGGCTTCGTAGTGTGGTATTAACCTTGACCTCATTTTTCCGCGCTGCGCGGGCGCAGGGTGAAGTGGGAGAAGCCGGTGACGTCACAGCTGAGCGACGGCCACACGCTGTACACAGTGCAGCTTCCTGGTTCGGGCCCTCTGCTGGCCTTCATCATCAACATTCTGGACTCGTGGATACCCACTGCCTCGCTCGCCGCCACCTGGCAGCGCATTGTCGAGGCCTTTAAGTTCGCCTACGGCCGCCGCACGGAGCTCGGCGACCCAGACTTCGTCGACATCGACCAGGTGGCGTAAAGAGTGGAGTCCGAAGTTCAGGAATTTATTTTTACAAAAATTGCCGTGCATAAGGCACCTTTACTTTCTCGTATACGTTCACATAAACAGAGCAATATACGTAGAATAGAGAAAGTTATGTAATGCTGCGCGAAAAAACGGCGAATTTCCGGCAGGAAAAACTCTCATTGGCGGGCCCTGATAACGAAAAAGTGGATAAATCCAGTTTCTTAATTTAGGAAAAAACAATCCTCTAACACGTGATGTAGCCAGAGTTCCTGTTTTGGGGGTCCTTGATACCGAAAAATCAATTGACAGCAAAACGTCCACCCGTCCGACCGTCTGTGAACACCTCTAGCGCCTGAACGCCACTACGCTTTCATTCAAAATGGATATTCCCCGATTAATCTTGCTCGACTCGATGCGTTGCGAGTTTGAAAAACTTTCTTCAAAATTTGGGGGTATTTTACGTGAAGCCCCTGGGACATTTTCAATTTTTTTTTTTTTCAAAATCGGCTCCAATTTTTTCTTTAAATTTCTTGTAATAATAGAGTGAAGTACATTATAAGAGTGGCATAGGTTCGAGTTTCACGGATAACTCTGAATGTTCAAAATTTGCAAATGTTTGTATTTTTCTCGCCGTCTTCCTACAACTACAAAATTGAAGATAGAAATTTTTCCTCCAAATGAAATTTGTTGTTTGTTATTAGTTCACACATAATAAGATCACACATTTTTATAACTTTCGGTATTTTCACGCAGTATTGCGAGCAATTTGTGCAATTTTCGAAAATAACATAAAAACGATATTTTCTCAAAAACAGATCAAATCTTTTCTTTAAACTTTTGGTAAGGATAGTGCTTAATGTTCCATATCACATGACATAAACGCAATTTTGCTCTATTCTTTTGTTTTTTCAAAAATTACAAAAATGTAACTTTTGGCGTCTCCCACGTTGTTATTATTTACATAAGTGGCGATATCTTCATGTTATTGTATTTATGCGTAAATATGTTTCAAATTACGTCATATAAAGTTTCTCGAAAACTCCACAGTTTTCTGTGAAAATGAGCTCAAATTCCGCATTTTCAGAAACACTCAAACACCATTTTCTCAAATTGCTCCAGATTTTATATTCAGAATTTTCCAACAGATAGCGCTAATTGTACAGTGTAATACGGAATAAAATTCATGTTGATCGCCGCATAATTTTTTTTTTATATTCTTAAATTTTCTGTTTTCTATTAGTTGAAAAGAAATATTATTTTAAGAATATTAAAGATCAGTAAAAACGCTTCCTAAATGGCAATTTTGTTGGAACAATTTGGAGACGTTTTTTAAAGAAAATGGTATTTAAACGCTACTGTAAATTCGAAATTTGAAACTCTTTCACAAAAAACTATTGAGTTTTCGAAAAACTTAATATGAAGTAAGTTCAAGCTCTTTCAGTCACAAATGCAATAGTGTTTACAATCCGCTGGAAATGTGCATATTAAAAGCGTGAGAGAGAGATTTCAAAATAATTACATTTGTGTAATTTTTTAAGAAACAAATGAATACAGCACAATTAATTCTGTCACCGTAAACAGTGCAATTAGCACAATCTGTTGAAAAACTTAAAGAAAAAATATGGAGCCGTTTTTGCAAAAGTGGCGTTTGAGCGTTTCTGAACATGCAAAAATTTGAGCTCATTTTCACGGAGGACTGTTGAGTTTTCCAAAAACTTTATCTCACATAATTTAAAACTCATATACTCATAAATACAATATTGTTAACAAATCGATTCTAATGTAAGTATTAATCACGTGTGACACAAATGACAAAATACCTTTGTGTAATTTTAAAGAAATAAAAGGATAGCGCAATATGGCATTTATGTCATCTTATCGGATATATTTAGCACTATCCGTACCAAGAGTTTTAAGAAAAAAAATTGGAGCCGTTTTCGAAAAAATCTTGTTTTTGTATTTTTTTTAAATTGCCCATATTACACGCAATATGCGCGAAAACTACTGAAATTTTCAAAAACTTGTATAAGATCTTAATGAAAGAACTAATTAGGAATAAGAAAATTTCATCTGAAGAAAAATCTCTTATCTTTTAATTTAGTAGTTGTAAGAAGACGCTGAAACAAATTCAAACTTTTCCATTTTTCGAAAATTTAGAGTCTACAGTGAAAATCAGACCTATACCATATTTATAAGTGTATTTTAGTCCATTCGTACAAAAAATTTAAAGAAGAATGTGGAGCCATTTTAAAAAAAAATTGAGAATGTCCCAAGGCCTTCATGTAAAGTACCTCCAAATTTGTTTGTCTGTTTGAATGTTTTTAAAAATCTCAAAGCTTCGACTCAAGCTAGATAGACAGGGATTTCTTCAATTTGGAAAAAGTCCTTTGCATGATTTAGCCGCAAGTAGTAATCACAGACGGACGGATGTTTTAAAAAAAGCAACTTTTTGGGATCAGGGATGCGTATTTCCGTAGATATCTTGAAATCGATTTTCCGCAGCATTACATAACTTTCCCTATACTATGCATAATGCTCCATATACACATATACGGGAAAGTAACTAGAGATGCTACAGAATGGCACAGACATTACCGTATTAGTTTTAAATTTCCTTTGCACTCGGACTTGCCACATTCTCTTGCCAGCTACCATCTGTAGCCATCCAAAATAAATTATTTAAACATTTTCTTAATTTTTCAGTTTCATAATAGTAGAACGGAAATTATTTTAAGAATCTTAAAAAACGGTAAAACCTCGCCCTAAATGTCAATTTTCTTTGAAATGCACTGCCGCCGAAAAATAAATACCTGCATCATCCTGGGTACTGGTGGGATAACCTGAAAAAAATAAAGGTTTGCTTTGTGGACCGGTTACTCTACAACCCATACGTTACTTACTCGCCCTAAACCTTTGAACTCCTCCTTCTGAATTGGTGGCTTAAAGTTTCAGTTATGTAGCATAAAAGTATCGATAAAACTAAAACATTTTCTGATGAACTGAATTCAATGTCTGTTATATTTACAGCACATTAACATGTTTACTCTTCCTTTGTAACTATGCTACTTTTTAAATAATACATAATGGCATTTTCAAATCTGAAGTCATGATTTTTTTTCGATGTTCAGTTGATTAAGAACTTGACATCGCGGGACTACGCTGCCGGTATCCGGAAATCCATCTTCGACGATCGCACCTTCCAGGACCCGGGGTATTATGGATCTGTTCTGTCGCAACCAGAAAACCACGGCACCGCGCACATATCAGTCTTGGCTCCCAACGGAGATGCGGTGGCTGTTACCTCGACTGTCAACCTCTTGTAAGTACAAATGGTAGTGCAAGTAGTCGTACATTTAATTTCAATTTGGATTGTGTAATTCAAAGTTGTGACGTGATGTTTAAAAATGGTAAATTAATTATTTTATGTAGGGATTGCTACAGTACGTAGTATTTTTCTTTCAGTTTATCGGTTTGTTCTTGCTAAACATTTTACATATTGTGAGGTCGTCGGATGCGAGTAAAACAGACACGGAGTTGTTCTCTACAGATGTATTGACATTTTTTTCTATTGTCTATTTATACTCCTGGGAAACTAGCGCTGCACTCCCAGCACTGCACATCTGTGAGGCATATCTGCCTTAGCCTGACGCAGACCCCCGCGGCTTGGCGCCGCACCTGGTCTCTCTTCCCGTAGCAACCGCCACACCTCGCAGCCAAAGCTCGCGATAACCCCTGGCGGGTGAGAAGTGTCTTCCACTCCGCGATTCAGTTCAAAAACGAATAACCACGGCTGGTTACTCTCCAGCCGCCTCGCGAGGGGTCACGTGACAGACCTCCCATGCCGGCGGCGTCCTCTCATCCCGAAACTTGGGTCTGGTTGCAATTTTGGAGTCCAGCTGCACCGCGGCTGGACTCACCCATCATCTCCCTCTGCGCCAGTTGACAGCCGCGTTCTGAGACACGCCCACCCCGGCCCTTGAGGAAAAGGCAGAAAAAGGCAAAAATAAGAATATGCCAAAAATAGGCATCAGAAGCTGATATTATTTAAAAAACGCACAATGAAAATCTACTAAAAGAACTCCAGAAGCACAATTAGGTGATTCCCAGTGGCAGCTGGTGGGGGTGGCATGCCCCCCCCAGTCCTTGTAAGTGTTGTTTGATATTAAAATAAAATATGCGCAATAGTATTTCTTTCAATTACATGACCAATGCAGCTCAGTGCTAGTGCACGTGTAACTTGCGAGAAGTTTCCGCCGTGTTCGGCTGCGATTCCACTTCCCTGCAGTGGGGCTGCCAGTCCCCACTGCATACAGCGAAGGTCAGCTCCGTAAAGTTACAACAGCAAAGGGTTCAAAAATATTGAAATTAAACTTAAAACGGGCCGCTTTTTTGTTGCTAATTTGTTACGCAAAAATACAATTTGTCACTCTTTATTTGACCCCGTTTTTAAACATTCGGCGAACGTGATATCAAGCAAGCACCCCTATGACAAGAAAACCAAGAAAGTACAGACATAAATAAAAAAATAATTACATTGGAAATAATTACAACGGTAGCGGCTGTTTTTTAGCATGTTTCAGCAGATGTTCTCCATTGATATTCCCCAATCGATCTGGCTGATGTCGCGGCCCCTTGAATTTGAAAACGATATTTTAATTTTTGTGGGCACTACACATGAAGCCCCTCGAACATTTTCAAATGTTTAAAAATAAATGACACCATCTTTTCTTATTAAGTCTCGTTGAATAGTGTGAAGGACGTTTGAGAGAATGATGCCGGTCTCATGTTTGTTGAAAACTCTTTTTCGAAAATTGCAAAAGCTCAAATAATTTTTGGAGTCTTCCAACAACTAAAATATTAAATATTCAGATTGTTTCCCTTAATGAAATCTGTTCTTTAAATATGGAGTTGGAAATAATGTCATGTACGATTTTTCGAAAATTTGAGTACTTTTCGCGCAATTTTGAATGAAAGTACGGGGGAGTAAGAACGTGCTGTTTTAGCACCACTAGTTCATGTTTAGAATGGATACGAATAGTAATTCTGTTCAATATTTAAAAAATATCTCAATGCATTTTCTCTTTTTGCATGCAGCCCCCTACCCCTATAAATTAAAGGCACCAACCGTCGCTGCTGATTCCTATTGCCAAAAATCATGAAAGAGTAAAAATAACAAAAAGGCATTTTGCCGAACTTCCGGGCTTTATTAATTACCTACTTTTCTTTGGCCAAATAAAATGTAAACTGATTCATTATTAGCTGAATTTATTTGTATACAACTTGATTGGATGTAACATCCTAGCATATTTTACACACTAACAGCGACATCATTCATCTTAGACGAAAACTTTTTACACACAAAATGTACGAGTAAGCAAATTTTATCCTCTTTCATTTCATATCAGGTTAATATTGTGACGTCATGGATACTCACAGCGACCACAGACACAGAGCTTTCATATTACAAATATATTTTATTAACAAAGAAAACAAACAATTATATACACTTAATAATCTAACATTACACCTTTGCTCTGGATTAGACTTATACATCCCTGATCGCGGGAGCGATGCCCAAACCCATTGAAAGATGGTTTTGAGATTAATCGGCATTCGCACTCCTACTTGAAGCGCGCACAAAGCCTAGCTTCCGGACCGGATGTCAACGCTAAGACACAAAGTCCGTTCTGGCGCACCAACGGCTGGTTTTGCCTGCGTCGCAGGAGCGAATGCTTATCCGATTGAAGAATCGGCCGTGATCGTGGCACTCAACACTCTCACCTCTGAGCACGCACACAGTATGCGCTCTCCGTGACGGCAGTCACCAACGGACCTAAAGTCCGCAGGCTTCGTCAACGTAGTGACTCGAGCTCAGCGAGCCTGGCTCGCATATGCACTGTCGTGCGCAAGTTTTTTTGTGCACACGCACGAGGTTTCTCCCACTGGTCTCCAGAACCCACTTCTACTGGCTCTGTAACTCTGGTTATAATAGCGAGGCCACGTGGGACGCTACACGTCACGCCACTCCCCTCGCTTGTTATAAACAGCGAAGGGTTCTATAAGCCGAAGACGCCAAAGCCCTTGGTGTCTCCCGTTTTCCGCGTTTCATGCCTTTAGGAAAAACCCTTCTTCCTGTGGCGAGGCTAATCCTCTACCAAGCGTCCCCAAATAGACGCCACGAGGCACGCTTGCTAATACGTTGCAATATTTACGAACCAGTGTTGCTAAAATAGCACTCACTTTCTTCCCAGTATTTCCACGCAAAATTACGCGAAAAGTACTGAAGTATTCGAAAAATTGTACATGACCTTATTTCAAAATCTATCTTTAAGGAACAGATTTTCTAAGGAAAAAATCTCTATCTTTAATATTTTAATTGTAAGATGACTTCGAAAAAAGTTTGATCTTTTGCAATTTTCGAAAAATCAGGTTTTTCAACGAACATGTGACCTGCACCATTCTCTTAAACGTCCGTCACACTATCAAACAACAAAATTTAATAAAAAAACAATAGAGCCATTTTTTTCAAAATTTGGAAACGTCCCAGGGGTTTCTTGTAAAGTACCCCTAAAACTGAAATAACGGTTTCATAATACAAGGACCAGCGACACCAGCCAGATCGATTGGATAGTATCAATTTGGGTGAAAATCGGTTGAACGGTTTAGCCGCTAGCGTTGTTCAGACGAGCAAACGGGCGGACGAACGGACGAACGGACGAACGGACGTGAGGACGGACGGACGGACGGACGGACGGACGGACGGACGGACGGACGGACGGACGGAGATGATATGCCGTAATTCGATATTCCAGTATCAAGGACCCACAAAACGGATTCTGGCTTCACCATGTGACAGAGGATTTTTTTCTAAATTAATTTTTTCTAGACTGAATTTTTCCCCTTTTTCATTACCAGAGCACTGCAATAAGAGTTTTCTGCCAGAAATTCGCCGTTTTTGCGAGTTGCTCTCTACTCCATGTGAAGGAAACAAAAATTGAGTTTTGAAATTATATCCAGATAAAGTAGATAATTCCCTTTTTTCATGTTTCGCTTGTATTGTAGTCTCCGCTCCACAGCACGCGGCTGTACGGTGCACAGCGAGGAGCGTGGACACGACCAAAGTAGATTCGTGTGGAAGGTATAAAAAAGGGGCAGAAGAGACGCGGGCCGAGCTCGAGGGTCCAGGGGGGTCCCACACTGGCGCCAGATGTGCCGCAAGACCAGGCAGTTGCGTCCAGGGGGTCGACGCGGTCGCAGCGAGGCTGGAGAGGCGGCTGGCCCTGGAAAGAGGGCATTGTTCCTCAAACGTCTGTCGCAGGGCGCCTGTGTGCGTGGGAGACCCCACGCTTGCGGTTATATTCGACAAGCTCATGTTGAACGGTGCGTTCGGTTGTTAGCAGATGCTAACGGGGAGCGAAAGCTCCTGGAGTGAACTGTACGGCACTATTAAATATATATGTTAATAAACTGTCTTTATATCAAAGCCATTTTGTCAGTGATGAGCCCAACCCACGACGTCACAATAACACCAAATTTTGCGGTGCTCTCACTGCAAAACCGTTAAATGAAGAAAAAATCGTAATGACACTAAATTAAAGTCATTTTATCTTCTTATATTTCATGTAGGACCATTTATTACGAAAAATTGATGGCTTTTGAGTTATTTTGAAACTAGTGATTCTAAAACTTACTTTTTGCCTTTAGTAATGGTTATGTAATACTATTTTTTGTATACCATGATTATAAACAACTTTTTCTGTTGCAAGACATCGTACATAAACGGGCATTTTTAGGAACAAATGATGACGTATTATATTTTACTGCACGAATGATCGCGTCATCACACATTCAGCCAATCGCAGTGAATCGCAGTGCTAATCGTGGGGAAGTGGCGGTGAACGGAACAGCCGACCTCTGGTTCTCTCGTTTTCTCGCACAGAAGTCAAATACCCGAGACGTCATGTAACGTGGTTTCGCAAAATTAAGTTTGATTCTCTTAAAAATTTATAATGCTATTATATAAAAAAATAGCGTATGGAACCAGTTTAAAACTTTGCTTTATTGCATTGGTACAAATTTGAAAACTAGCTCCTAACATCGCTCGTTTTCAAAACATGTACTCGTCAATAAAAATTATCATTATAAACTAATTGAATAAACTTCTGTAGGGTTGCCACTTTCGAGATGGAAGCCACCCGGGGATGAATGATTACCGGGGGGGGGGGGGGGG